GGGGTGGGGGGGCGTTGGGGAGGTGTTGGGGGGGCAGAATTGTGATTTCCGCTGTGTCTGCTGTCATTTTGACCTCAGCCGCAGCGTCTTTGATGTGTGGTTTTGATCTTTACACACTTTCACTTTAACTCAGGAAATTTTTGCACTTTCAAATGATGTTCTTGGCTTGTCTGACATTAACCAACAGGCGCAGGAAGAAAGGTCAAAGAGCGGGGAAAGTTTGAACAGGCACAAATTTGGACTCAAAGACTCAAACTGAGAAAACACACAAACACAGGCCTGAGTCCTCAAAATAACTCAAAAAGTTAGTTTTTGCACAACTTTCTGGCTAAATCTCCATGGCTGCGTTGATCTTTGTTTTTGGCCATGGATGTCAGATCTCTCACCACTGACATCGCCTCACCGACAGTATCAACCAATCAGGGAGAAGATCTCAGCACATGAAGAAAGACGAGATCTTTTTTTTTTTTCTTAAAGGGAAATACTTCTCAGCAGTTGTTTTGTTGTTGCAGAAGTAACCAACGGTACAGTGGTCACTCAGTACCTGTACCAGTGTGAGCCGGCCTGTCCTGACCACACCTACTACGATGACCAGGACCAAACCTGCAGACCCCGGACACAGTAAGACCCCAGAACCTGAGTGGTCCTCAGTGTGAGCAGCTCTGACCGTCTCTGGTCCACAGGTGCAGCGCACTGGGACTGGACGAACTCTTCTCAGGAAACAAAAGCCACAACTCCGTTTGTGACATACAGGGTACGTGGACACAGCTGGTCTGAGCCCAGCAGCCCCCTCTGGTGGTCAGCTGGACTTTATATGGCTGCGTCAGCTCTTTGTAAAACTGTGATGTTTTTGTGATACTATATATAAAAAAAACACTGTGACGTATTCAGTCAGGCCTATGAGACGTAAATCAAACCCCCCCCCATTAGACCATAACAATATTATCACACACTTTCTAAAACAGGACCACGAAAATAAATGGTGTTTCCATCAGCGAACCTAATGTAAATGGTTTTTTTTTTCAGAATTAACATTTAATTTCCTGAGAACTGTGATGACTGAGATCTAAACTCAGTCCCCCTTGCTCCCCCACCCCCCCCCAGGTGCGTACAGCGCACTAACCTGACGTGTGTGATTGGATGTTTCAGGACTGAAGAATGGAAACCTGGTTCCTATGATTCTTGGCCTCAGCTTCGCCGTCTTCTCCGTCTGTTTCCTCGTTCCGTTTCTCTTGGCTGTCGCTTATAGAAGGAACCTGTGGAGGCGAAAGTCAAGTGAGTGAAACTGTCCACGGAGCAACCGTGTGGTTTCTAACTGATCCTCGTATTTTACTGTGACTCCTACATTAGAAATGTCTGACTCTTATTTAAAGAACACCGTATCGACTACAGTTTGAATCGTATTCACAGATTACCTGGCCGAGTTAATGGTCCGCCACGACGTCACCAACTTCCATCTGTCGAAGGAAGAGAGCGGACACCAGCTCGTCCTGCAGGATGAAACCAAAGACGACAACAATCCTGCACAGCTGCACCTGGGAACAGACGCCGGAGTTTGAGACTAAATCAGGAAAAAGAAAAAAACACTTTCTTTTTTCCATCTGGGCTACAACGAGGACAACAGTTGACTGAGAGTCTGATGAACTCAACAGACCACGGAGTATTAACGTAACTGCCCTGGGGTTGATGGGAAAATACCCCTAAATCACATCTCAGTGCCACCCTTTGGCCTTTTAGGTGAATGTTTTTTTTAAATGCCAGTCATATGTTTATTATACACCAGGTCAGCTTTCAACTTTAGCCCAGATTCAGAACTGGGTCACAGAGCACTTCTGTTTGTCTTTGGTCAAACGGTCAGTGTTGACGTGAATATTGTCCAGGGCCTGAAACCACCAACAATATATTGTATGATTCTTGTACAGTCTAATTAAACATGTCTTATTACATACAGTGTGTTATGACATATATATTTTTTTACTACAAACTAGAGGTGAGGTCAGACGTGGGCAAACGTTTTGACTCGTGGGCCACAGTGGGTCCTAAAATTGAACAGGGGGCAGAGGGATGTGGACTAAGATAAATGACATGTAAAAGTCATGCATAAAGGCTAAAATGCTAAAATGCTTTTAGCCTTTTCTACACCATTTAATGGGGAAAGGGCAGAAATATATAGTAATAATATAATTTGGACAAGTGATAAAGTTTGGATAAGTTTGGCGGGCCGGATTAATAAGCCAAAAGGGCCACATCCGGCCCCCGGGCCATAGTTTGCCCATGCCTGGGTTAGGTGGTGTGGACCCCTCCCATTGGTGGTTCTTCTCATGTGTTTAGTGTAAAATAAACTCTTTCTTCACCTGATTCTATACGATGGTACTGTATATGATTTTAAAGATAAAAAATAAATAATTCTATATCTACACTATATCGTTTCCGAGAGGGATGATGGTTTAGGTGTATGTACCAGTCTGTGCCTGTTGGGGTCACTGTCGGGCACCGTGAGGCTGACTGATCATATGACAGCCTGGCTGCCTCCGTCCTACTTCCCTTCCCCGCTGGAAAACGCCACATCTGACAGAGAGGGAGACGCAGACAAAATCTTAGGGCAGTGCGAAGACGGACATCAAGATGTTGGCTCTAATAAACCGGCTGCTGGACTGGTTTAAGTCTCTGTTCTGGAAGGAGGAGATGGAGCTGACGCTGGTCGGTCTCCAGTACTCGGGGAAAACAACATTTGTAAACGTGATCGCCGTAAGTCTTCAGCTGCTGTTAGCCACCTTGCTATAGTAATGCTAACGCCATCAGGGCTAATAATGGGGCGCATTAGCTGCGGGTTCTGTGTCTGTGCTGGGTTTTATGGCCCCGTCGGGTCTCAGACATTACACAGTGATACTCGGTAGTGACCGCAGTATCAGTGGAGGCACACACGAGCCTGAGCCCGGGGTAAACACGTCCCACCTGGGCTAGCTGCGGTGTTGTGGGCTGGTGGGTGACTGTGTTATGGATGTCTGGAACCCAAACGCAACAAACACGTAAACACATTCACACGTAAACATTGTACGTTAGTCTGTGAACACTGTGACTTTCAGGGATTTCAACAGCTTCAGAAGAATATATATAAAAAAGATTTCTGCCATAACCAAAAATAATCTTAATTTAACTGTAAAAAAAACTTAGTTTTGACAGTGAGGTTTTCGACTTCTGACCAGACATTTCTGCTACAAATAAGTGCGGACTCGTCATTGACGACTTACAGTAACCCATTATTCTAAACCTTAACTTACAACAGTAACCAGAGGCCCTGATCACCAAGACCTGGTCTGACCAATAACTAGTGTTAATGACAAGGTCAGAGTTCATATGGATGATGGGAGCCCCCCCCCCTGGAGACACGCCGTCTTTTGTTCGTCCTGGAGCTGTGACCAGTGACTTCTCACCGTGGCTGATTCAGATGCTCATGATGATACGTTCTTTTTTTTTTTTTTTCTGGTGCGACTGAGGCCGGAACTAAAGACATTGCACTGCCTCACTTGGGCAATTTAGCATGGATGAAGTAATTACCCCCTCCCTCCCCCCCAGTTACCACACAGGGGTAACTGGAGCCTTAAACCGCACACTGTGAAAAAACAAACCCTGCTCCATTATCGGTTGTAGTTTCTGACAACACCAGCTCCACCTTTGACCAACCAGACTGAACTTCACTCACTTTGGGATACGTCTTATTATGGGATGTGTTGTTGTGAACGCTCGTGTTCCCTCTGGGTCGACATCACATCAGGGTTAATGTTGAGTTTATTTCCTGCAGAAATGAACAAAGATCAGCATCAGTGCAGAGTCACTGCATGATCACATCTTTTTACCTAAACACAGGCCTCGTCGTGACATCAATGTTTTAGTCAGAAGGTTTGGACTGAAGATGTGTTTAATGATCCTTTTATCAGGGACTACACTGTAATAGATGCTTTTTGAATGGATGAACTGGTCAGAGTTAAATGTAACATTGGACTGTAATTCTAACACTGCACGTCTGTGAAACATCTCTGACATTTATATCAAGAGTCTTTGACCTTTAGCATCAATTTGATTCAGACATTTAGGAATTTTGCCTGAAGAAAATGTCAAAGAAATCTGACTTAAAAGCATTATTATCATTAGAGCGGCCTCACCATGTGGTCCAGAACCAACCTGAGAATAGCTGTATTTAATATTTTCAGATATATTTGATGTAGTCGTAGCAGGTGATTAGAATCTCCCTTTCTATATCTATAAAATTGCTCATTTACATAAAAAACTTCCAAGCAAACTGACATTTCACACTGTAAAAACCTCAGTACATATTCTGAATTCATGGAGGGAAATTTCCTACATCTTCAGCCGTGTCAGGTATTTCCTGACATTTATGTTAAAAGTCACGCGTCTTTCAGAGTTAGCACGGAACTTGAACTGCCTCCACTTCTCTTTTCTGACGCATAGGATTCAAAAATATTTTCTCTTAGCAAACTGTTCATTTTATGTTTAATGTATTTGATTTTATTTTTATTTTTCCCTCTCATGAATATCAAAGGGAGCGCGCGGTTCCTTCTCTCTCAGTCATGAGACCAAAGCAGTCATTTTCACTTAGCTCCGTCAGGTGACTCTGTTGGGTCATGTGTTGTGAAATGTGTTGAGCAGCAGACAGTGAACGCTCAATGCTTTACACAGGAACACAAGGAGAGGGAGGGGGGAGTGTGTGTGTGTGTGTGTGTGTGTGTGTGTGTGTGTGTGTAAACAGCCACTGAGTTTTGATGTGTGAAACAGAAATGCAGTTCATTCACTAAACTGAACTGAATGTTTTTATAGGTTATTTTTTTTATTTCAGTCAAAGGTCATAACAGGTGATAAAATCTGTCAACATTTAGTTTTTTTGTCTTTATTTACAAATTGGTATATTTTATGTACTGCCCTCAGATTATTACATTTAAATCCTAATTTAGTAAGAAATAGCCTTTATAATCTACTAATGTAAAACAAAATAAAAATCCCACCTCAACATATAAACCATTCATACAGTTAACTTCAACACCTGAACTCGTTGTAGCTTCTTAACATTGAGACCTGCTGCATATCTGTCACACAGTGACCTTTGACCCTTTCTCTCCAGTCTGGACACTTCAGTGAAGACATGATTCCCACAGTTGGCTTCAACATGAGGAAGGTCACCAAAGGAAATGTCACGATCAAGGTTCATATTTTCATCACTATTATTCTGCTGCCACCACAGTAAATTAAATTTAATTAAATTAAATGACGTGAGACGTTTCTAAACGCTGCTGTTTCACCGCGGTACAGATTTGGGATATAGGAGGGCAGCCCCGGTTCAGAAGCATGTGGGAGCGCTACTGTCGAGGAGTCAATGCTATAGTGTGAGTACGAGGTTTTGGTCATTTACATAACATTCCTGACATACTGCACAACCTACATATATATATTTACACATATATATACAGTTTGTATATATATGTAAACATGCATCTTTTCTGTTTCACTTTTTCAGGTACATGGTTGATGCAGCAGATCGAGATAAGGTGGAAGCATCTAGAAATGAGCTTCATAATTTATTAGACAAACCTCAGCTGCAAGGAATTCCAGTAAGTCTGCTACCTCCAAAACCACTTTTTTTTTCTTTTTTTTTTACTGGTTCATAGTTCTTGCAGCAGCCTCGTGTGTGGGTTCTGCTACTGAATCGGTTGGAGGTTTTACATGTAATCTGTTCTCAGGTTCTGGTTCTCGGCAACAAAAGGGATCTTCCCAGTGCTTTAGATGAAAAGCAGCTCATTGAGAAAATGTAAGTACGGAAAGTTGTACAAAGAATTTTCACGTGACGTTATTACTGTGAAATGTCATTCAATGTGTTCTTGTTTCAATGTATTTGAATTGAATTATTTAGAAGTTTACTGACAAAAAAACCAAACAATTTAATCTACTTTTTTTTAGTTCTTCCAAAACTCAAAATGACGTCTTTTGTTGGCTGTTAAAACAGAATCTACTGCCATATTAGCGAAACGATTTGGCGCCCTCTACTGTCCAACTACAAAATAGATGTGGGTCTGAATCAGCATTTTACTCACATTTTTCTTCTTCTTGACTCGTTAGGAATCTGGCAGCGATTCAGGACAGAGAGATTTGCTGCTATTCTATTTCCTGCAAAGAGAAAGATAACATTGGTGAGTGGATTCTTAAAACTCTGGGTGTTCACCGTTTTTTAAACATCATTTATTTAAAACAACATTTATTTAAAACATTTATTTAAATAGTTCTGAGCTGAGAGACTTCTCCCTCCTCAGACATTTTTAAAAATGTTTGACTAGAACAGAGGTTCAGACTGGGACATTGTTCTATCTTCGTTTCATTTCAGACATCACACTCCAGTGGCTCATTCAGCACTCAAAGTCTCGGAGGAGCTGAAAAAACACCAGACTGGTTTTCCACGTTCCCGTCATGCCACGCCCTTGTTTTTCTGTGATGATGTACAGTTGTATCATCAGTCCCAGGTCACATGCTGCACTGTTCTGCACACTTCTTTTCCTCACCTGTGTCTTTTCCCACAAACCCTGACGATGCACTACTGCAATGGAATCCTGGTACAAAAATGTATGCAATACAATTGGCATTATGTATGATGTGATACTGTCATTTAACTAGTGGTGAAAAAAGAGCTTCGATTTTTTTTTTTATCCTTTACTTCGCAGGCATTACCCACATAACTATACCGTACCCAGACTGTGCTAACGCTAACCCTGGGTGTCTTTACTTTAACAGGCCTTCCTCAGACAGTGAAATAAATGTGAACACGCAGGTTTTCTCAGTTCTGTCCAGCTCTTCTCTGACGACTGTCTCTCTCTCTCTCTCTCTCTCTCTCTCTCTGAGCTTGATTGTGTTATTCACTTCCTCCAAAGTCAAAGTCTGTGTCTGTCATTTTGGGAAAACGGTTTGTGCGCCGATGCACATCAGTTGGAGCAGGTCTGTACAAATACCAAGCTACTATGATTTTTACTGATGTGAGATGTATGAATATATGACTCTATTTAAAGACTGAATGTAGTAAAAGAAAAGCTGGACGAGGTTGTGTGGTTCATGCTGGCCTCTGTTTGTAAGTTACCTGCGTGGAACAGTTGCCTTTGTGCCACCTTGATGCTAACAGGGGGCGGGGGGGCAGAATTTAAAGTGCCTTGTGCAGTGTCTCTGACCTCTGAAGCAAAAGCGGCGTGAAAGGTACGTCCACCCGGGCAGAGGGAAATACACCACTTCAATACATTCAGAAATAAAAAGGCATGCTTTTTAATTTACACCTTGTCTGTTTGGTCTTCACCTTCATGATGATGATGATGTCACACCAGTGGCTCCTGTCATGATGTTCCTCTGTGTTGTGTCCTCCTCATCTGCTCCTCATGCTGTTCCAGATACTGTCCCAGGAATTAGAGCTGAAGGAGAAGGAAAAACAAAAAGCAAACACTGATTAAAGCAAAGACACGTAACACTGACAGATTTCCAACCAGAAAAAACGTAATTCTTCTGCCACCTTCTCCACGCTTATGCACCTCAGCTTTTACACGAACATGAGAAGGTTAAAAATATAAAAAGTCGTTTGTTAAACTTTGAATATGCTCCATCATAACCCGCTGGAGAACAGATGTTTGAACTGAGTTTTTAACTACCGACAGATAAATATTCAGTGAATACAGTAAGTTAACCTGGTTCAAATCTACGCAATAAAACAAAGTACTCCGTGTACTTTTAGTAGGACAGTAGTCACCCTTGTGTTCAGGAACTGGAAGTGTTATGTTATTTTACCTAGAATCACATGTTTAGAGCCTAAAGAAATAAATAGTCATCGCCATCTGTTAATATGAAGCTGCGCAATAAGATATGACAATGAATCGAGGATTAAAAATATCTGTAGACAAGATAATAGGTTTAGTGCTACTTTAAATCAAATACAGTCATCGATTTAATGTTGAACAATAAAAATTTAAAAAATAAAATGAAAATGAAAGTGTTTGATACTTCATTATTACATGAAAACAAAAATCCAACAAACGACTGCGCTGTTGAGCTTTAACAAAGTGGTTGTGTCCGTTTTCTATTGGTGCGAAGTTAACTCCAGACACGTCATGAATGCCACGAAACGTAACGCGGTGATTGACGGCTAATAAGCCAATCGCTGCACGAGATTTCCCGTCTTCGGGTGACGTAACAGGAAGTGAGAGGGGCTGGTTTGTTGACAGGAAGAAAGCGTGAAGCGGTAGTGATTATAGGCTTCCAGGGCTTAACTATTCCGACCTGACGTATGGAGAAGGTCCCTTCTGTTCATTCGATCGTCGGAGTGTGGACCTAAATTATGCTGTGTACGACCGACCCGCGGCAAAGATGCAATGGCGGTCAATCGTAGTTGGCCTGGTCTTGCTGAGGCTTTCCCTCAGCTGTTTCGTATGGCTAGCCTTCGGACTCGGACCTAGCGTCAGCTGGGGGTTCAACTTCCCCCTGGGTTTTAATCTAGGCAAATTAGAATTGTTATTTAGGGATGGAAAAGCCCCCAGTCTGAGAAGCAGCTCTTGGTCTCGGATTCACGGACACAGGTATGAAGAGACGGAGACCATCTGTACGAGGGTGGAAGAGGAGTCGCCCAAAGGGTCTTACCTGAGCTTCTTCGACGGGAACAGGGACGAGTATGAACGGAGATACGGCTCCTTCCCCGAAACACTGAGAGTGAAAATGAAGGACATGGCTAAAGAAATGTTCTATTTCGGATACGACAACTACATGAAATACGCCTTTCCCGAGGACGAACTCAACCCCATTGACTGTGAGGGAAGGGGACCAGACGTGTCGAACCCGTAAGTTGTTGTCACGATGTGGGACGATATTGTCACTAATGGAGATAAAACGATGGATCTTTAAGTGTCGTATGTTCCCAAACACTTAAATATCACCGGATATCAACAACCGTGACCCACTGTACCGACCGTGTTGTCCTAACTGTCCGGACAACGGACTGTCGTTTGCATTCATTTTATTATCAAATCAGCAGCCGTGAAGAACTGCTGCCTTCAGGGCCGGTTCGTTAAACAGACTACAAGGAAAAAAACAACACTTAGGATCACAAAAGCTAAACACAATCACTGCCCTTCTGTCTGTAACCAATATCACTGCCTGAAGACATTTAAATAATAATAAAAACGAGCCGGTTTCAGTTACACATAACTGTCACACACACCCATTTATAATGGACACCTGTGTGACTCAGGTGTACTGTACCAGTCTTTTACCCAAAATGTTAGTTCGTTATTTTAAACTTTGTGAAACAAAAAAACAAAACAACAATTCAAGTTCACACTCATTGATACAAATGATCAATTTAGAACGAATGATTAACGTAATCCTAAATGACGCGTACAGGGAGATTAAACAGAGGCTCGAACAGATTATCTTGTGACGATGCTAACAGATGCTAATCACCATGGAACTGTGAGGTCCAAGAACATGTCAGTGAAGATGATTGATTGATTGATTGACTGTTTGTTTGAAGAAAGTTAAATGTTGTAATTAAATGAATTAAACTCTACTGTTTCCTCCTTTGTCAGAATTAGCTTCTTGGTGTCAAACATAGTTAAACTGGTTTCTCTCGTACCTAACAATTGTACACTTGGTATTTTGTCATATATTCTTTTGGTATGTTTTTTTCTCGTATCTAACAATTGTACATTTGGTATTTTGTCATATATTCTTTTGGTTTGAGAATCTCTTGGACATAACTCGTTTCAAAACTATGTCTGTTTCACTGTTTGCATTTCAGGTCAAATATTAACATCAACGATGTCTTGGGGAACTACTCTCTGACACTGATCGACACCTTAGATACTTTGTTGGTAAGTTTAACGCACTTTGGAAACACTAACATATGTTGTCTTTAAATACAAACCTCCCAAAGACCTTTTTTTTTTGTTTGTCTAAACTCTGTAAACCACGCGGTTCATTTTCTCCAGGTTCTTGGCAACGTCACAGAGTTCCACAGAGCCGTCAAGCTGGTCATAGATACGGTATCGTTTGACAAGGACTCAACGGTGCAGGTTTTCGAGGCAAACATCAGGTACAAATGTGCAAATGTTTGAGAGACCAATTTATAAAATAAAAACCACTCCATTTTTGTTCCTCTAAACTTGTTCGTCATCGTGTTGTTATTTCAAATAGAACATGTAAAATGGTCAAATGTTTCTTCAGTGTAGTTGAAATTTTCTCCCACGAATCCTGTAAAAACAACTGACTAAAGTCAGACAGAGGGCAGCGTCTCTGCATATGAATTAACCACCTTACACATTTCATAGTTGGTAAAAAAAAAAAAAGTGACAGTTTTTAATATTTTTTATTTAAATCAAAATCAAAACTGTCTCCTTGTTTTGTTTTTTTTGTTACCTGGAAATTTTAAAACCTTTTTTCCTTACTATTTTGTGTTAAATACTAAGGAAATACAAATGTTCCAATTGTTTATATTTAAGTCTTTAGTGTTGTGGTAAAAATGGTTAATAAGTGAAATGGTCTGTAAATACACAAATGATGTCATTTTGAAGAAATTCCATAGTGGTTGAATGAATTTTTTTTTTTTCTGTCCCACAGAATCCTGGGAGGCCTCATCTCAGCTCACATTCTTCTCACCGACCCTAAACACCCGTTTGGAAAAGTGGGCTTCGAAGGCTACGATAACGAGCTGCTTCACTTGGCTCACGACTTGGCCGTTCGCTTGCTGCCAGCCTTTGAAAACACCACCACCGGCATCCCTTACCCCAGGGTCAGTGACTGTGTCGTGGCTGCAGGTCGTGTGTTTTCACCCAGGTGAAGTCACATGACTTGATGCCCGTCAACTTTACCTCGAACACAGGTGAACCTGAAGACTGGCGTCCCTCCTGACAGCATCAACGAGACCTGTACTGCTGGAGCTGGATCCCTGCTGGTGGAGTTTGGGATTCTGAGCCGCTTGATTGGCGATTCCACTTTTGAGTGGGTGGCCAGACGTGCTGTCAGAGCGCTGTGGAACCTGAGGAGCAACGAAACCGGTCTGTTAGGTAGGTGTGGAGGTGTGGAGCAGCTCTGTTCTCTGTTCTCTCCAGTGTTTATTTTTGTCTCCTGTTACCTGTGTTATTATGGCAGCTACAGGTCAGCGCTAATGTGGGCTCTGTTCACAGGGAATGTAGTGAATATCCAAACGGGCCAGTGGGTTAGCAAACAGAGCGGCCTCGGAGCCGGGATGGACTCCTTCTATGAATACCTGCTGAAGTCATACCTCCTGTTTGGTGAAAAAGAGGATTACAGGATGTTTCAGTCTGCGTACGAGAGCATCCAGAACCACCTGAGGAGAGGGTGAGAGGAGAGGAGAGGGTGACACGTCACTGACACACACACACACACACACACCTTTCTGAGTTGGGTTGGTTTGATTCTCTTCACCTTCTTAGGAGAGAGTCCTGTAATGAGGGCGAGGGAGACCCTCCTCTTTATGTCAATGTGAACATGTTCAGCGGTGAAATCATGAACACGTGGATCGACTCCCTCCAGGCCTTCTTCCCTGGGCTCCAGGTGAGAACTGTGATTTACAGCAGGGGGCGCCGACCTCAGTCACTCACTGAGATGAAAACACCGTCCGTGTTGGAGTAACAGTTTTTCAGGTCTAGATCTGAGAACGCTCTCCCTGTAAATACTGAATTTGAACAGATGGATCATGAACAGTTGACCAAACCAGTAAACATTAGAATGAGTTTTTTTTTTTTTTTTTAATCACAGCCACAGGTGTGTTGAGGCCTGGTGGGCCACATCCAACCAGGAGACGGGCCAGATTAGGTCCACTGGCCTTGACTTTGACATATGTAATCTATAGTGTTATCACTAAGAACCCCCTCCCTCCTTAACAACTGTGACAGGTTATCTCACCCTCCTTCACCCCCTCCCTCACCCCCTCCCTCACCCCCTCCCTCCTTCCATCACCACCCAGGTGTTCCCTCACCTCTGCTGTGGCTGTGTGCGTGCGTGCATGTGTGTGTGTGTGTGTGTGTGTGTGTAATTACCTGCGTCACTCTTCGTCCCAGGTGCTGAACGGTGACGTAGATAACGCCATCTGCCTTCATGCCTTCTACTACGCCATCTGGAAGCGCTTCGGGGCTTTGCCGGAGCGGTACAACTGGCAGCTGCAGGCTCCTGATGTGCTCTTCTATCCCCTCAGACCAGAGCTGGTGGAGTCCACCTATCTGCTGTACCAGGTGACACCAGCGGCCACTGGTTCATCACTTCTCCTCGTCTTCTAACAACTGATTCCATCTTCTTCTCGCTCCACAGGCGACCAAAAATCCTTTCTATTTACATGTTGGTATGGACATCCTGCAGAGCCTGGAGAAAAACGCCAAAGTCAGGTATCGTGCATGCGTTTGGTTTTTTTTTGTTTTTTTACAGACCTCTGGTGTGGTTCAGCCCGGAGCTGAAGGCTGTTTGGTTTTTTTTCTTCCCAGGTGTGGGTACGCTACCCTCCACCACGTTGTTGACAAGTCCAAAGAGGATCGTATGGAGAGCTTCTTCCTCAGCGAGACCTGCAAATACCTTTATCTGGTGAGTTAGCATTAGCATGCTAAACATACAGTTGACCAGTGTCATAGTTTACTGATGCTGATATAAATATAAAGTATGTTTCAAATTTACTATTAACAACTCACATTATTTTAGAGAGAGAGAACCTTAATGTTTCTTGACTGACATAAACGTAAATACATACATTCATCTGTGTCATTAGATAAAACTAAAAAATGTCCACAATGGAATCCTGTTATTAATAAACAATAGATATAAACAATAAGTGAAAAGTAAAGAATACGTCAGAACTTCATGACACACTGATGTACAATCAGACTTCCTATAAGCTGAAATGTCAGCATTCAACACCAGAGGGCGCCAGTCAGATGTTATTGTTCTGAGCTGTGGCTCTAGTTCGTCTGATTGGTTCAACCCAGTACATTGTTGACGCAGATGACAGTAAAAATGTTATTTTTTGGGGGGGATTTTGGATGAAGTTTGGTCAAAGTTGATGTGATGAAAAGCGTTTCCTGATGAAGTGTTTGTTTTATTTCTTGTTTTTTTCCCACTGCAGCTGTTTGATGAGGACAACCCTCTGCACAAGTCCGACAACAAGTACATCTTCACCACCGAGGGCCACGTCGTGCCTGTCGACCAACGCTTCAGGGACAAACAGTGGGACGACCCCTTTCCTTGTACTGAGGGGGCACTGACCAACCCGTACACCCGCCCCGCGCCCACCAACACAAGCAACGTAAGACTGCCCCCCCCACACCCACCGACCAGCTCCACCTATGTGTCATCAGTTCTATTGCAGATTTTAAAAATAACCTAACGTAACTTCTGTACCTGCAGTGTAACAGGATCCCAGAAGAGCGGCGCTACACACTCCCGCTGAAGAGCGTCTGCATGAGACATATCGATCACATGGTGGGACTTTTCTGAGTGAGCCTTCAGTACGACCCCACAGCTGTGGGTCACGACCCCGTCCTGGTCCAGTGTTCAGGACCCAGACAGGAACCTGACACTAAAGTGAAAACCTGACTCAGCAGTTCTTCATCGTATTTTTTTTTTTTTTTTTTACTCTGGCGAAGACAAATATCTCAGTCGGTGAATCAACACTTGAGTCTGGTGACAAAGTCAAAGATAAAGTGGTTTTAGAAAGAAAAAAAAACAGTTTAAGGTTTGGCTGTTTACTGTGAGACAGTGATTGGTCATTACAGCAGCGCTGTGATTGGTTTAAGTATATAAAAGGGAACAGTGACATCTAGTGGCGTGTACCTGATTAACACGAACTCTGGCCTGTTTTCACCGGAGGAAAAGGGCTTCATAATAACACAGTCACTCATCAGACGGAGTCGAACACACCAACAGCCCGGAGCCACCGTGCTGTCGTCAGGCAGACTCTCGTCTTCCTTTTGTTTTGCACGTGATTGAAGGTGAACCATCAGCAGCATCAACAGACGACACACACTCAGCCATTCAGTTACAGCAGAACAAACGAAGAATGTGAGGGAAAAAAGTGCCTTGAACTTGTATTCGTCCCCAAAGGCTTTACAGTTTCACTTTATTTTTATTTTATTTTATTTTTTGTTGTTGTTGTTGTTGTTGCAGCCAACTATCCCAGTATTGCACAGCAGGTGTCGTTCATTCCACGTGTGTGACGTCAGACTCAGCGTCTCCTTTAACAAGCCATAGAACAAATGAATAACGTGTGTTTTCTCTACTTTATTTTTATTTTTTCTAATTATCATGTTATAACTCAGGGTTTTTGATGAACAAACAAACAAACAAACAAACTGATTTTGGTGAAGTGTGTTTGCAGCCTGTTCTGGTTGAACTGTCTGCCTTTTTATAACTGAACGACCTTGAAGACCTGAGAGTGTAGACGTCACAGACCGGACTCCAACTCACAGTCTTCCTCTCACCGAGTCTGTTTCTGTTTCCGTTTCTACTCGGGTCTAATTCATGTCTACAATTCAGAGGAGAAGAAAACGTGACGTCAGTCGACGCGTCATCACCGACTCTGCTGGAATCGTTTTACCAACGTGTGTGTGTGTGTGTGTTTTTTTTTAAAGAGTTACGTTAAAGACCGTGACAATATCAGAGCTGGTGTGAGTTTAACGTTGTTGTTGTTGTTGTTCAGTGGCGGACTGACGTCTGCTGTTTCCGGTGGTTTTTATTGACTACAGTCAGACAGAAGCGACAGTTTCTAGTTTCCAGTTCTGTTTTTGCCAAATGAGCTGCTGCCTTGAAATGAATAAACATCACAACCTTAACCCGAGGAACGAGGGAACTAATTGTTTTATAAAATAAAAACGTTAAAGATTACGAGCTGTGTTGTTGTTGTTGTTTTAGTCGTTAAAAAAAACGGACAATGTCGACGACACTTTTCTACAGAAGCTTTAATCGACTTGATGGAGATTGACAGATGTTTCTGTACAGAGTGGAGTCTGTGAGGACCGGAAGTTTAGAATCTACAGTTACAACGTCACCGACTAAGACTGTGACGTCAGTTCAAATACAACCGGCCTCAGTTACAGCGAACAGTTGTTTTTTTTCTAACTTATTTCCTACAAAAAAAAAAAAAATCTGCGTAAATGACCAGACTGCTCAGAGTCGTTTCTATCGAGTCGAATTCTTCTTCTAAGAATCCTTAACGAGGACGAAGTGCGTTTGCAGGTGGTGAGGCCATGGAAGTCCGTTCTTTGGCAGTTTGACTGGACTGTTAGCTGACAGCTACGCACAGCAGGAGATTTAAATACTTACTGACGGGTTTCCACACTTTTTTTGAGTTTTTTTTTATTATTTATGTTTTTGCGTGAGAAGGGATTTTTTTATTTTTATTAAGTGTCTCATCTTGGAGGGTTTGGAGAGCGGGACTAACCTGTGGACAGAGAGACAGTCTCAGAGTTTACAGTCAGTCCGACTGTGTACACTGTTAGTCGTACTGTACTGTACTGTGCGTCACCCACCTCAGAACAGACCGCAGTCCTTCAGGTTCTCCTTGATGATGATGTCGGTGACGGCGTCGAACACGAACTTGACGTTCTCCGTGTCTGTGGCGCACGTCATGTGGGAGTAGATTTCTTTGACATCCCGGCGCATGTTCAGGTCCAGGAACTGCACTTTGATGTAGTTCCCAGCGTCCTCGTAGGTGTTGGGCCCTTCATGGAAATATTCAAATGGAATTAGAACAGCCCCT